GCCCCGCCCGCGCGCACCTGCGGCCGCGCCGCCCGAACTCCGCCCTGCGGCCCGGCCTGCTCGGAGCAGGGGGGCTGGTTCGGACGGCAGGGCTGCCAGCACGCGCCTCACTCCAGACTCCCACCCCTAGAATGTATCCCTCGAGGACACAAGGTTTTGCTTTGTTCTCTGATGAGCGTTTGACACAATGCCTGACATGTAATAGAAAGAACCAAGCCCATAGGCATTACTTCCATTTCTACACTGGGCATCCCGTTGGTTACAGAGAAAACGTGGCCTCTAGGGGGTTGTTGTTGTTGTTGTTAAGTGCCGTCGAGTCAGTTCCGACTCATAGCGACCCTGTACAGGGTTTCCGAGGGGTTACAGGGCTGTAATCTTTATGGGAAGGAGCCCTGGTAGCACAGTGGATTGTGAGCTGCGATGCTAACAGCAAGGTCAATAGTTCAAATGTAAGAGTCTCTATGCGGGAGACGGATGAGGCATTCTGCTCCCTTAAAGATTTACAGCCTCGGTAACCCAATACAGGGTCCCTATGAATCAAGTCTACTAGGTGGCGCAAAACCACCTCCAGTCTGTATGTTGTTGTTAAGTGCTAAGTGCCCTTCAGTTGGTTCCGACCCCTAGTGACCCTGTAGAGAGTTTCCAAGGAGCGACTGGTGAGTTTGCAAACATCAACCTTGCAGTTCAAACCGACTTTGCAGTCTAGCGCATTAACCCACAATGCCACACAGCCTTTATGGGTGGTACAAAAGATTAAGCTCAGGACTGAAAATAGAGGATCAGCAAAAAAAAGCAAGACCCCAAGGAAATGAATTGTCACAGTGGTTGCAGCCGTGAGTTCAAAGGTAACAACAATTGTGAGGATGGCCAGGACCTGGCAGTGTGGTGTTCTGTTGTGCATAGGGTGTCTGTGAGTCGGAACCTAATAACAACTAAAGGAAAGCTTGGTGGTTGAATCCATCCAGAAGCCCCTTGGAAGAAAGGCCTAGAGATTTGCTTGTGAAAGGTCACAGCCTTGAAAATCCTAAATATGGAGTGCAGTTCTACATGCACACATGGAATCACCATGAGTTAAAATCAATTGGCATCAGTCTTTACAGAAACAGATGGCCAGGCCTTTCTTCCTTGGTGCCCGCCCACCTTTTATTGGGTTAGTTAGCTTAGTGTAAACCATACCACCCATGGATCTATTGGCACACAGTTAGTGTTCCATAAATACATATTGAAGGCATTAATCAGTAGATTATATTTCTCATAGACTTTGCATTGTTTTAAAAGTGACTTTGTACTTAAATTTGGAGTCCTGGTATAGTGCTGTGGGTTAATGTGCTAGGTTGCAAAGTCAGTTTGAACCACAAAGTTGGAGGTTCAGGCTCACCAGTTGCTCCTTGGAAACACTACACAGGGTTGCTATGGGTTGGAACCGACTCGACGGCACTTAACAACAACAATAATACTTAGATTTATTTTTTAAGTATCAGCTGTCATAAATAGAAAGCAAATGTGAAAATTAAAAATAAGTTGCTTATTGAATTCTAAATAGGGTCCAAAGTGGTGAATGTGATGCTTTGCAGGTGTTGAGAAAGATGTTAAAAAATATTGGCCACAAATGAAGACTTCCTCCTAAGAGGAAGGACTGAAAGAATTGCAAAGGGGAGGCAAATCTGACCCCAAGAGTCACTGTTATTCAAGGTGGTGTTGCTCTACCACCTAAAATGCCTCAGGGGCCACCACTAGTTGTAAACTGCTCATACTTGCAAAAACACCATTCGTGGTGATGGGGAGGTAGGTTGAGAAGAAGCCGTGAACCTGTTGTATAGTTGGGAAAGCGTCAGAACCTACCCTTATTATTTTTAGCCCTTGTTAGTCTTGGCAACAACCCTGTGAAATAATTGTTATCCCCATTAATCAGATGAGGAAACTGAGGCCTGACAATTTGAAAAACAGAGACTCCATTTAGGATTGCTTCCCAAAAGGCCCTCTCCAGCATCTTGGAAACCTATGAATGATACCTGGGAATCAGAAACATTGAATTATAATGCCATTTTTATTTCATGGATATCATGGATGTGATATTGGTGTATTGGCAAAACAGCAGTGATAATTATCCCTGCCCACCCCTGTGTACCTTCCCTTGCTCTAAACTTTGATTCTGGGCTTATCCATGTGACTCAGTTGGTCAATGCAGTCTTCAGAAACATGCTGCATGAATAGCCTTGTTTCACTGGGGTTTATCCTTGCATCCTACTCTTGAAGCCTGAGATCATCACCATAGGAACAAGCCCAGCATAGCTGACCCATGGTCAATAGTCAACTAACTGTCAGTCATGTGAGTGAGACCATCCGCCACCAGCTGACCACAGATGCATGTGTGAGACCAGCAGAGGCTAGCAGAAGAACTGCCCAGCTGAGCCCTGTCCAAATCACTGACCCGCAGACTCGTGTGCTAAATAATTGATTCTTGCTTTAAGGCATTATGTTTTAAAATTATTTTCTCTATCTCAAGATACAACTGATACTGATGGGGACATTAATGATGAAAGGCCTGAGTGATCTGGGCCCTCCCTGTTGTTAGGTGCAGTTGAGACACATAGTGACCTTATGTACAATAGAGCAAAACACAGCGCGGTCCTGCGCCATATTCAAAATTGCTATCTTTGAGCCCAGTGTTGCTGCCACAGTTGTCGTTCCATCTCATTGGAGGCCTTCCTCTTTTTCGCTGACCCTCCACTTTATCAAGCATGAGGAAGCAACAGCCCCTAACATAAAAACTGTTGGGTTCTCACCTAAAGAAGATTCTACAACAGGCTGGAAGATCAGGTGTTGTGACAGAGTGCTTGTCAGTCCACTAGTTCCATTCCTGTTCTGCACAAACATAAGTTCTGTAGTCATCCTGGGAAAGTTCAAGAATATGGCAGACCTTAGTCCCTGCCCCAGAAGAGCTTGCCAAAGATGATTTGAAAGTCTATGCTCTAGGGAATAAGATGAGAAAAACAAGAATGCAAGTAAGGCTTCCAGTCTTCTGGCCTCCCAGGGCGATTTATTCATTCTCTTTCTAATCCAACGATGTGGATTTCAGATCAGTCCTGAGCTGAAAATCCAGGGTTAACTCAGCACCAAGCATTTATTCCTAACAGTCTGGTGCCTTATGCCTAAAAAGCAAGGTACCGTCTGTCAATATACTGCCCTCTCGCCAACCATCTGGTTTCATTCTGACCTGTCTATGAAATAGATTGTAGGAATGGTTGGCATAACTTGGTCCATCTGCCGTCGGTCATCTCCTGTTCTGCGCTTTGCTCCCTACTGCAGCTGGATAGGTGAGCAGCCTGCCCCTTCTAGGTACCACGTACAGCTGAGGTTTTCTATACAGCTGTTCCTCCACAACCTCTACTTGGGGATTTCAGGCAGCAGCTATTGGGAGCAAGGAACATTCACACTAGAGAAAATGTATCTTGAAGTCACAATGTGACTTCATGTCCCAAATTTGCTCTCCTTCCCTGGAGTCAGTCAGCCAGTTAGTTATTCTGGCATTTAAAACTAAAATTGGAGAAGAAAATTAAAGACTGGCAAGCCTCTGCCCTCCCCAGCATGCAGAAAAACTTTCAACACAGTTGAAACGCCCTCTCCAGTTGCCTGGGTTTCCCTTAAGGGTTTCATGCCCAAGTCCCAGCCGGAACCTGCTTAGCTTATGAGATGTGATAAAATTGCAAACCAATGCAATGTAGCTGCAAGCAATTCTTTTTTATCTCTTTTCATTTATGTAGCCTGACATTGACTAATAATAATAATTAAATGCCGTTTAAGCTTTTAGGCACCTATATGAGAAGGCCTCTAGATACCTCATCAACAGCAGCCCAGGCTGACAAAAAAACAAAGCTAATTATGTTGTGGTTAACTGTTTTCAAAGGAAAAATTAAAAAAGCTCACCCATGATACTTACCTCTGAGAAAAGCAGTACATTAAAAGGTCCCTTTGACAGTCCATCTGGCCAGACCCAGTAGAAACACAAGTACCTTTGTCTTAAACCTGCCACCCTGGCACTGCCTATTGAAACACTGACTGTAGTCTCCATTTTTCACTTTTCCCTTAGCTTTCAGAAAAATATTCCCCAGAGACCTAATTTTTCCAGATGTATTAATAGCCGAGGGCCAGTTGTGTTTATTTACGTACTTACTTAGGTACTTATTTATTTATTCATATGCACACATCATGTTAGAAGAAGGTACTTAGATGATTTTCAGTGGTGCATAACACTTTTAAAAGTTTGAGAGTGTTTTTTGACATGGAAACTCCAAAATAGCTTAATCTAAGAAATTGAATCAGCAGATATTCACTGGAAAGAAAAAAAAATCTCTGGAGATACTGAGAAAGAAAAAGACGGCTTGAATGTATTGTTAGAGACCGATGTTTCCCATTAGGTTCTCTACTGATTTGTAAGATGACTCTGGCCAAGTCCCAGTAGTCCGAGACATACAGTAAAGTGCCGAAGCGTTTGATATGACTTCTCCACACAATATTTTCACTTCAGATTCTGACTGCCCAAGCAAAATGCCAGTATTCTCATTAAAGGAAACAAATCAAATCACCAGGAGACATTTTGTCAACATTTTTTCCCCTGAATTCCTTTGGTTAGGGAAATATTCATGGCCTCACTTTTCTCCAGTCACTTCTCTGCTGTGGGAATAGAGCGTCCCAGTCTGAAGAGACTGGGAAAAACATGATTCATCTCATATATATATATATATATAATGCACGCATAAAGAGCTCTAAGAGCGTAGTGGTTATGCGTCGGCCTGCTAGCCTC